CAATGAATCGTCTTCCTACTAAATTTACTTCTGTCTTCTATTGATGTTAACAGAGAAACCATATAGTTTGAGAGTGTCTACTAGTTGAATTTCATCTTTTTGTTTTATTTGGAGATAACAACACTTACTATAATTTCATTTCATTAAAATAGATTTTATTAGCATATGCCGTGCCCATATAATCTGAGTGGTTTTAAAGTACACGAATGACATCAAGAAATATTTTATTTGTCTGCCGGTGTGACAAGCATACACCCACCCACCCATATAATTTGATAGTATTTACTCTTTGAAATTCTTTATCATTTCTATTTTTTCACATTTCTATTTTTACACATGGCAACACTTTATCAATTTCATTTCATGGAAATAGATTTGGTAAATACATACCATGCTAATATGATAAGTATTTTTAAAGTTCACGATTGCTATCAGGAAAGATTCTGTCTATCTGTCGGTGAGAAAAACATATCCACTTGCTAAAGAAGATATACGCTTCAGAAGCCATATAGCTGCCCTTGCCCTTCAAGGACTGAAACCGCGTTTTAATTTTTATAAAGTGTATTTGGTTAGTTTAGTTGGTCAGCGCAGTCAGTTTAGATTTGTTAGTCGGGTCAGTACGTATGATTTAGTCATTCTTTTATGATTAGGATTTCGTTACAACTAAATAAATTCAAAGTCCGAAGTTATTTGGGTTACGCTATCGTGATGAGTTTCCGAAGCGTGACGATCTTGTCCAACTTTCATAAGTGGAAGTGCTAAATTTGTCTACTGACCTTGTTTCGGACAAAAATTGTTAATCGTTTCTGGCTGACACTGTCAGAGGTTGAATCAGTTAAACCGAAGCACTAAGTCCATAATGATGTTCATTTCAAAAGTCTCGTGGAGTTGTTTTAGGTTAGTATTCTAACAACAACTGTTTCGTCTCCCCGGCAAGGTCAGCCAGCTGACATGCCAACCCATACCTATCAATAGTGAATATATAAGCATGTTCTACAGAGCTTACTTACTCGAGAAGAGTGTCGACAATATGCAGAAGAGTAGAGAAAGAATTCAGTAGTTGAAGGGAGTGTTTAGCAGCACGAGTCACTGAGAAGCATTCAGCGAGAATCAAAGTGCGGTAGACTAAGAGTTTAGCCAGAGTTACACAGAATGGATTGAGGTTGGATGTTATTAAAATTCTTTTCTAGAGAACCGAGTATTTAAAGAAAGAAGATAGAGACAGTTCAAGGGTCCCTTGGTGCCCGACACTTGATAGCGTAAAAAAACTCTTTTGAAACTTGTCTTCAAAAATACTCTACCGTTCGACTTTAGAAGTCGCCATTTTCAGTCTTACTTCTTACTTCTTCCTCTTTCATTTCTTGGCAATCTGTTTGAGCTAAACAAAGGGAAATTTTTAACTTAAAAATTGCTTTTTTGCGTTAACAAGAGCAGCACCTGTATTTGTATCGTTTACTTCTTCGAAATGGCCGCATCTATGTTGGAATCAATTCCACGTTTATTAGCAATTTTCGAACGGTTAGGTTACCTTTGGAATCTCAACACGCAATAATTAGGGTTTTTCTGCACTAAATCTGAACTCGAACTGAACAAAATCTGACTTTCTTTACCTATAATTAGGTCGGAAAAAATGCGATTTCAGCAAAAATCGAGGAGGCGTTTAAAATGGCGGATGTAAATAAAGTTTGAGAAGAGCATAAGGAGTAGCTAATTACACAGCCACATATTGTGCACTCTTATATTGCAATTGATACAGTATTGGAGAAGATTTCTTATCAGGTGGTAGGTACAATGTGCACGCAAATAAATAGTCCTATTTTACTTATCTAAGTGATATACTGAGCGGCTGTGATTATATGAATATATCATGTATTTGAAGCAGTAGCAAAAATAAGCATGAAAAAGTTATAGGCTTGTGCGCCATTTGAGCTCATGACCTCTGCGATACCGGTGCAGTGCTCCAACAACTGAGCTAATAATCCAACTGGGAGCTCGATCAATTTCTTAGTTTGTTAGAAAGATGTAAGTGAGAAAATTGCTTTCANAGAATACATGACAGAAAACGATGGAGAGTTTGATGAGGAAGACCTAGAGGACGATGATAAGGCAATTTCCAGAAGGTAAGTTGAGGAAATGGTTAGACTTGCTTCTCGGATAACGGTGCCAAACCATAGGCTCTCTCTCCTGAATTGTCTATGTGCTGGGGATCAGGGAACATCAAAGAACCCCACGCACTTCTCGTAAAGAGTAGGGAAGGTAGCTCCCAGTGGTGTGGTCTGGCCTTGTTGATGTTTATCAGGCCTCCATTTAAACCAGCTTAAATGCTGAACCGAGTCAGCCTGTCTACATATCACAAACAAATAAATAAATGAACAAATAAAGCACCAGTTCGTCCACCATTATCTTTTGTAATACCTTTTTTCTCGCTCTCAGTAAAAATTATATGGTAACTGAACACGAGGAGTTTGAAGAAGGAGCATTCGACAATGATGATGATAGAAAAAGGAATGGCACGTGCAGCTCTTGATTTTTGCCCAAATTCCCCCTCTCAGTTTCTTGGAAATGGATAGAGAAGGATATGGAAAATATATATAGTGCTGATTTTAGAGTGTAAAGGATAAAGCTAGAGTGACCTTCATCAGTAGCCATGTTTGATTTTTCTCTTCCCTTCAGATCTTGATGAATACCCAACTCGAAAATGCATGGAGAGCTCTAAGGACAACTCATGATAAGACAGCTTGTTCCACTTCTAAAATAAAATGGGGAGAAAAAGTTGTGATTTGCTTCAAGTTCGCGACAACAATAAAAATAATCGAAGTTTACTAATACCAGGCTCTATTGTTTTTTTTTTTTTTCTTAATATTTTTTTTTTCTTTGATGTACTTTTTGGATTATAGTTGAGGTACATTTTTGCTGCGCAGTGAGCGTACCGAGCGAACAGTATCATAATCCGGATTGTAAAAGAATATAGGGAATGCGAATTCTCGATCCTCGAAAGCAAAAGGCAGTTGACCGATAGTGTTCACAGCGCCTGTGTGACTCCTGCCATTCGCTAGCGCTTTAAAATCTTCTGCCTCAAAATGAAAATTGTATTAGGATATCTCTTAATGACTTTCCTTTTTGATGTAATAATGAGGGTTAGGTTTAAGATGTCATTTCCCCATCTGTATGTTCTTGAGGTTAAGCAAAGCCGGATTAGATTGTTACTGTTTTTAGTATACTTTTTCTCTTGCAGAAAAGAACTTTAGAGAAATATATCTCAATGTAAGTTTTGGAAAATGCAGGTGGATGAATCACAGCGTAAATTTTGTCAATGTCAACAGAATGTGCCGCAGTTTTACTTCTTATTAGATACACTAGTTTCTACTTATCTCTTCTATTGATCTGGTTTTCAATGATATCGTTCAAACTCTGTTTCCAGTCCATCAAAAATTGCTGAACTGGTCATCGATTACAGAAATTTTCGAAAACCAGTTTTAAGAACGAAAAAACCGTTTTCCGAACCTCGTTCTGATATCACTTTCAAGCTCGCTGTAAGATTAAGAACATTCTCACAAGAATAACGCCCTTTTTTAGGATTCTAGAGGAAAGAAAAGTCTTATCCGTAGGGATTAAAAAATGGGAAGATTTGCGGTTAAATATTTGTTATGAAGGCCTTTTGAAACAAATTATTTTGGTTCTAAAAACACCATGTCTTTCATGAGGCAAGCTAGTTTGTTCTCGCTGTAGAGTTTATCCGTCTCTTCTCAACCGCAAATATTTTCCATGATCCTCAACGCACTGAAATAACAGTTTGGCGTGTTGGATAATAAATAACCTATTAGACGTTTTGTTGTCTAGTATTGCTGAGTATTTTTACTCGTTATTTGTATTCTGACTCGCCCTACGGGCTCGTCAAAATACGACACAACTCGTAAAAATAATCAGCGATACTACACAACAAAACATCTGATAAGATATATGTATCTGTTTATTTTAAGTCCTCAATTAATATCAATTGCGATTGGAGCAGAAAAGTGGAACACTCAAGTCGTTGCCAAGTGTGACACTTACGACTCCATAACGTGATCTGCCATCACTCAGTGGACAAACAATACTATAGAATCTCATTTCTTTTTTATCTATTTATGTAAAGAAAGAGGAAATTGCCACTAAGGTTATTTTTGCGACTGTCTCTAAATATATCATAGATAATAACCAATCGAAGGAAAAAGTAATTTGCAGTCTGGCAGATTGTTGATGAAATGAAACATTGTCGGGCTGAAACAATATTGTCTCGCGAAAAACATGGTAAAGTACAATTACCTCCACAAGAATATTAATGAATTTAAAATATTGAAAGAGCGTTTCATTTTTCAATAAAATTAAACATGAACAAACAAAAGACATTTTTAACTTTTAACTAAAAAAGACAATCAATAAATTCGTGTAACCAAAGGGAATTTGACTGCAAACGTAATAAACCATCCTGAGCTGTAACCTTTGATATCATTAGTCCTGTATTGGTTTAA